TATATATATTCGAACGTTTATCTCAATAGTGGATCTGTTACTTTCCTAGGCCATATCTTCTCCGCCGCTTGAACATAACTTGTCCCGGACAAACTCTGGGCATCATTGACTACCCAGCACCTTCGTCATTCCGACAGCTACGCTGTTCTGCTGGGTTAGTGACTTTTATTGCCGTTTTATTCCCGGTTGGGCTACATTGATGCAACTTTTAACCGACTTCCTCATGGGCAACCGAAAATGTTTCGAATTCCCGTCGTCAGCCTTGGCTGTTTTCGACGTGCTAAAAAAGGTCCATCGACGAAATAACAGCTTTAGCACACCACGACCCGGACGCCGCGCTAGCTCTCGTTACCAATGCTTCAGACCTAGCTGTACGCGCGGTGCTCCAGATATTCGTACAAAATCGGTGGCAACCTATAGCATTCTTCTCCAAACGTTTATAACCTGTCGAATTTCGCTATAGTGCAGTTGGTAGGGAACTTTTAGCATTCGACACTACCGACACGAGTTGGAAGGTAGATCATTCACCGCTTTCACCGACTAAAAGCCGTCAATTTTTGCCTCTCATTCACCTTTTGACAGGTATTCTCCGCGGGAAATAAGACACCTAGATTATGTCGCTCAGTTCACGGGCGACATACGCCATGTCCCAGGTCTTGACAACCACATCGCCGATGCGTTGTCACGCGTCGCTTCTCTTAACATATCATTGACGTTGATAGATCTAACTGCTCTTGCGATCGAGTAAAGCACGAAAAAACAGAACTATTGCGTCGCAACCGCTCACTTCGCATCGAACCGGTATTCATCCCAGGTTCAGTACAACCTATGGTTTGCTACGTTAGCCAAAGCAAGCCACGCTCAGTAGTCCCCGAAAACTTTCGAAGACTTATTTTTGATCAGATACACGGTATCTTACACCCAGGTATGTGCACCACCATCTAACTAATCTCTTCTCGCTTCGTCTGGCGCCACATTAATCGAGACGTGCGTTTATGGACTCGTAATTGTCTTCAATGACAACATTCTACGGTGCATAAACACATGCCCAGCAATCGGTTTGTCCCCGACACCTGATGCACGTCTTCATCACGTTCATGCAGACATCACTGTACCTCTTCCTAGGTCAGGTGACGCCATATACTTACTAACATGCGTCGACCGTTTCACGAGATGGTCCGAAGCCATCCCAATCCACGGGTGTTCCTCAGAAACCGCAGTCTAAGTGTCTACGCGGATTGCTGGATTACTGACCTCGAATGCGCCGATGACCTGATAGTGTTTGGAGAGGACCTGACCGCTTTGCAAACAGCTCTCAACCGTATCAAAAGACTTGCCTCTGACATCGGCCTTGAGATTAATCCCAACAAAACCAAAATGTTCGCTACCCCATCTGATCAAGCAAAACATCCTCTGCAAGTGGATAGTCAGACAATAGAAATCGTATCGGAATTCAAGTATCTTGGGTCCACCATCCTACTCCATGGACAAGCCAAAGATGATGTAAAGCGGTGCATCCACACGGCCCGAACGGCGTTTCTGCAGCTCCGAACACCCCTATGGTGCCGGAACGAGATCAGCCTCAAAACCAAGCTCAAGGTGTTCGACCAGTCCTACTATACGGCTGCGAAACCTGGCCGCTGAGGACATCAGACGATTGGAGGTCTTCGATTCATCCTGAAAGTAAAGAACAGGGTANCCGCAGACCCGACGACATTTTCACGAGTATTGTCCTGGCTCCGACACCATGTCCTGGCTGTCGCCGCCGACAAGGGGGGCAATTAAAAACCTGGCTGGACACTGTATTCGAAGACGTCGACCAACTTGGTCTTAGGAT